ATAGGAGGGCCCAGCTACCAACTGGAGAGGGGTGGGGGCATCAGCTGGCTGTAGCGTATGCTCTGAGATGTCATAATTAGTGAGTGAATGGGGCTAGTGAATCTGCAAATTAGCAGAGGTGAGGTCAAGTGATAGAGCTGATGTGGATGAGGAGTGTACTACTTCTAATAAATAATAGCTACCATTTATAGAGAACAGACTGTGAGCTGAGTTGAGAGCTGAATATACAGCAAAACCAGGGAGACAGTTAGCTGAACTGGGCAGCGGCAACTCAGCAGAGAGGAGTTTCTTTTTTTAATTTATTTAACATATTTGTATTGATTTCAGAGAGGAAGGGAGAGGGAAAGAGAGAGAAACATCAATGATGAGAGAGAATCATTGATTGGCTGCCTCCTGCACGCCCCCTACTGGGGATCGAGCCCACAACCCGGGCATGTGCCCTGACTGGAATTGAACCGCAACCTCCTGGTTCATAGGTCAACGCTCAACCACTAAGCCTCGCTGGCCAGGCTATTATATTTAATTTTAATTATTTTAAGTTTAATTTGCCACAGTAGAAAAGGATTAGTAAGCCTTTAATGACCCTGATGCTACTCTGGCACCTGAGGGTTGTTGCAGGGAAGAGCTTTGATGCCACGAAAGGAATCAGGGCTTGCATCTGGGTAATTAAGATGGCCTTTTCTTATAGAAATAACTAGAGGCCTGGTGCACGAAATTCGTGCACTCGAGGAAGGGGGCGTCCCTCAGGCTGGCCTGTGCCCTCTCGCAGTCCAGGAGTCATCTTTAGCACTGCCACGGATGTGGGAGAGGCTCCTGCCACCACTGCGCTTGCAAGCATGAGCCTGGCTTCTGGGCCTCTGGCTGAGCAGCACTCCCTCTGTGGGAGCACATTAACCACCAGGGGCATCCTGCATTGAGCGTCTGCCCCCTGGTGGTCAGTGTGCATCATAACAACCAGTCATTCTGCCATTGAGTCTATTTGCATATTAGCCTTTTATTATATAGACTAGAGGCCCGGTGCACAAAAATTTGTGCACTTGGGAGGGAGAGGGGGTCCCTCAGCCCATCCTGTGCCCTCTTGCAGTCTGGGACCCCTCAGGAGATAATGACCTGCTGGCTTAGGCCTGCTCCCGGGTGGCAGAAGGCAGGCCCAATCCCTAGGTGCAGCCCCTGGTCGGGCTCAGAGCAGGG